ATCGATTGGTTGCCTCCCACATGCACCCTGACTGGGGCCTGNACAGAGAGAAACATCCACGTGAGAGACACATCGATTGGTTGCCTCCCACATGCACCCTGACTGGGGCCTGGGGTCGGACCCGGGACCCTTCAGTCTGTGGGCCGACGCTCTAACCACTGAGCAAACCATCTAGGGAAATTCTACTTCGTTTAAAAAAAATGTTCAGAACCATTAAACGGATGCCCGCTTCTGCCTGGCTCATTCCCCTCCGCATGAAGTTTTCAAGGTCCTCCCCTGCTGTAACACGCATCTGCACTTCGTCTCCTTTCACGCCCGCATCAGGGTCCGCCGCCGGTTTGCACCCCGGTTCCTTTAGCCCTCCACCCGCTCCCCCATGCCTTTGATTCTGGGATTGCGCCTGTAGCTCTCCCCTAGACCTTGACGTGACACCATCGGCCCGGGAAGGAGACGCGCAGAAGGCTGGTTTGCGCCCCGCTGCTCCTGGCCTGTTCTTGTCCCCTCCCCTCCCCCCTTTGCCTGCGTGACCTGGAGCTTCCTGATGGCCCGAGCACAGCCCCGCTGCTGATCACCCTTAAACACCCCCCTGAATTCTATAAATACACCAACGCTCAGCTGGGAAAGAGGGAACTTGAAAGGCATCTGAAACGAAAACACACTTTTTTCCCATCACTGGCCAAGCGTTTTCTCCCCATGTCCCAGCCTTTGATTCCGGGGTAAGTGCTTGGAGTCCAACCATCCGCCCTACCCGGGGAAGAGAAGAGCTTCCCTGGCAGAGCCCCCTCGGGCAGAGAAAGCCGGGCAGCATGTGAACACGGGCCCTCCCCACAGAAAACCCTCTGCCTCCAGCCTCAGTGGCCTGTTCTGGTCCTTCCTCCAGCCTCTGCTGAGCCCGTTTCGAGCCAGGTTGGTAGGTTGATGGAAATGGCTTTGGGATCCGGCCGTTGACTCAGCCAGCTGCCAGCTGTGTGACCGTGGGCCCTCTATCAACTCTCCAGGCCTCAATTTCCTTAATTATAAAATGGGAAAAAACCCCAATATTGTCCTTGCAGCCTCGTTGGGAATATTCAATGAGATGCTGTGGGTGTGGCCGTGTGCAGAATGAAACCAGGCGCCACTCCATGCGATGCCAGGGACTTCGGCTCCGGAGTCAGGGCAGCTTGGAGACGTAGGGGTGGGTCCGTTGACCTCACAAGGCCTCCCTGCCTATCATTTTGATGTATAACTCAATAGATGAATCAATGTATAATTCCTTCACTCTGCCCTTCCACGTTCCCATTCTGCCATTTTCTCCCCTGGGAGGCCCGCCGGCATGGATGGCCTCAAGGGGTTGCCTTCCCTTTGGCGCCCCGCTGGGTTTAGCTGATGGGGAGCCAGCCAGGAGACCAGAGGGAGGGCAGAGGGCGGCCAAGGCTGGCTACGTCCAAGGGCTCCTCCTGGGCAGCCTTCTCCACGCAGCTGCTCTGTGGCCCGGCTCCTGGTCCCTGCTCTCTTTGGCTGCCTCAGCTCAGGGCAGCGATGGCTGTCGTTGGTCCCTTGTTGGTTTCCCTAAGCCTTGCCCACACCGTCACAAACAGCCCTTTATTAGGCTCTCCTCAGTTGCCCAGAGCGTGCCATCTCTCTCCTGCCAGGATGTGGACTGAGACAGAGGTTCTCCGTTTCAGGCGACAACTCAGATCTGCAAGAGGAAGTAGATGATTTTATAATCAGCTGAAATCCAACTCTGAGCCCCAGTCCTGTCGTTACTGGGCATCTGGCCTTCGCGCACACCTCCTGGGGGAATGCCAAGTCCTGGGGCTCTTTTTTTTTTTTTTTTTTTTTAATATTTTTTTTTTGATTTCAGAAAGAGGAAGGGAGAGGGAGAGAGATAGAAACATCATTGATCGGCTGCCTCCTGCACGTCCCCTGCTGGGGATCGAGCCCGCAACTTGGGCATGTGCCCTGACCAGGAATAGAACTGCCACCTCCTGGGTCCTAGGTCGATGCTCAACTGCTGAGCCACACTGGCCGGGCTCTCTGGGTTCTTATGCAGTGACAGAGCTTCAGAGAATCACTTGAAATCTGTCCATGGCCCATCCCAGGCTGCCTGGTCCCTTCAGGTCCAATGACATTAATGCTTCCATGTCAGTCCTGGAACAAGGAAAGCATTGGCCACAGTGGAAGCCTGTTGGCCTTCTCGGGGTACTTCCCCTTCTTAGGGGCTGCTCGGGAATGAACCTGTGACCCTGTCCCAGTCCTCCTAGCATCTTCCTTCTACTTTAGAAGGAGCGCCGCTCTCTGCTGCCCCCTTGAGGACAAGCCGTATACTCTCCTCTGAAGACGTCAGACCTTTACCCAGGAGCAGCTTCTGATTCCAACCTGGGAAACTCCAGGCGACACAAACTGTTTTAGAAGCAGGGGAATGAAGCCCAGGAAGCATCAGTAAGTGATGCTATGGTTATTATTTTTCAACCCATAACTGGGGAATTAAAATAAATTGCATATGACTTGACTCTCTACATTGCCCATGACTCTCCCAAAACCCATTAAAAAAACTATTTGACAGAAACATAGCACAGGGCACGCACTGAATTGTCACCCACTCAGTCAAATGTGGCACATATTACTTATCTTTTATACCATTTAGGAAAGCTCATTCTGCTACTACAGCCCCGCAAGATTCAATTGCCAAGAGCAGACAATGTAGGCTATCTGCACAACCCAATTCAGGTTTCCATTTAAATTTAGTTCCTCTCATCTCCAAGTGACCTAGATGGCTAAGGCATTAAATGACAATTAATGGATAACAGAATAACCCACTTCCGAATTTGCTCCTGCGTCTGGGTCATTTTTCTCAGCTTTAAAAGAATGAGATACAGTGGGCAGTGTGCAGAGTGGCCCCAGATGGGAGAGCATCTTGAAAACTGGCATTTGCTGAATACTCGTGCAGAATCCAGAAATATCTCATGGTCAGGATGAAAGGTCTAAATTTAATAGCAAAAATAGAAAACTGGCTCGGCTTCCCTGGACTCTGCACAGGAAAGTTCTTGTTTGGAAGAACTGAAATGAGAAGGGGCTGGAGGCGCTAGGTTGGCGGCACCCTCAGGTTTTCCTGGGGACCTGGAGGGTCTGCTGTTATCCTAAAATCTCATTTGGCCCACTATGGAAGCTGGCATTGGTGGAAAATCAGGGAGGAAGTTCACCCTGATGCAGATACTCCCCACAATAGGCCAAGGCTCCTATCTTCCTTTTCTGGTTCTGCTTATCCAGCTTTTAAGATCAAACCACCTTCCCTGACCACCTGTACAGGACATCTGTCCTTCTTGTTCCAATAGCATCTCTACCTCTGGTAATAGAGCTGTCTCACATGACTGGGACTTCCCTTCATCTATTAAAAATGTCAAGTATATAATTCAGTCAAGAGATATCTTTGACATTTTATAAGGAAGATGCAACATAGCATCTAAAGGAAAAAAACCCTCTCCGTGTGGGTGGCTTGACTTGGGATGGAATCAGCAATGCTTCGCTGCTGTGAAACTTGCTGGGAGTTCTTCTTGGACCCCTCCTTGAATCTTTACTTTGAATGGATCGGGGGTGGTAGCAGGTCTTCCTTTGGCCAGAGACTGGGCCCTGTGGATGGGCAGGGGCCCTGTCTATGCAGGCCTCTCCATGTCTCTCTTTTTTTGCTTCAAGTTGGAATATATGCCTCTCAGTCTCTCAGGCTGGGTGGCTTCAGATTCTTGCCTGCGTTCCGGAGACATGAAGACTGCAAGAGAACCTCATTCGTTAGGCAGGTGCCTGAAAAAGAAGCTCTTAGAAGCCTTAAGCCATTTCCTTCCCCACCCCTCACCCCCAGGCTCTCAGCATATTAAAAAAAAAAAAGCCCGGCCGGGCGTGGCTCAGCAGTTGAGCGTTGACCTAGGATCCAGGCGATCAGGGTTTGATTCCTGGTCTGGGCACATGCCGGGTTGCGGGCTGCAGCCAATCAATGACTCTCTCATCATTGATGTTTCTGTCTCTCTCCCTCTTCCTTCCTCTTTCTAAAATCAATAAAGATATAAAAATAAATAAAATAAAATAAATTAAAATAAATAAATTACTGGATTTTAAACAAATTTGAATTCCCAGGACAGGCTATGTGGCCTAAATAATGGGACAAAGCAGCCGAAATCTCTGTGATGAACGTTGTCGTCTTTGAATCCCGCCAGAGCCCGCACAGCTGTCCCTCCTTGTCACCTAATTTGCAGACACTTAGGTCAAAACACCTGAACTCGAAGCGCGGGCCAAATGCTTCCCCGGCCCGGCCTCAACCCCAGAGCGCATCACTGAGGCCTGGCGGATGCACAGAGTTAATTCTGCAAACCGCACGCCGCACGCCGCCCGGGGCCCCAACCCCGCCGCCGCTC